TCGCACTTCGTCCATAGCTTTTCTTTTTGACCGCCATGCCTTCTGGTAAGACAACTTTATTCCATGTTGAACTTGCACGTCGTGTATTATGTCCCCTGGAACATAAGTTGTCTTCAAATTTGTGAATCTCGATCGAATAAACCCACTTACAATGTTGGATGTAGCCTGTCGTTGACCACTTGTACGTATCTCAAATGGACATGAATGGTCGCCACCAACACCCCGAATCTTGAAAATGTTGGAATTTCCTACCCTTGACGCTTTAACGTACCATTTGCAATCCGTACATATGCACTTCACGTAGTATTGCTTTGGACAAGACTTCTCCACTTTGAACTGATATTGGTTTGTTATTGCATGGTGGCTGAGCAGCTTGATCACTTCGTTTTTATCTCTGAATGATTGGCCGACAACAACATCCCAAATCATACTTCCATCGACACAGCATTCAAGTGAACTGAGGTTGTTTAACTCCTGTTTATCTTCCGTATACTTAACTGCTTCAAGCATTGTATCTGCAGCATGTTCCGCAAAGGCTGTATAAAATTCATCTCTTTCCGAGTTTCCCCGGGCTGCCTCAAGACAATTTAAGCCTTCTATATCACACGATGACGGATATGTAGACATTGGCATTATGCCTCCAACGGGAGAGGGGACGTTTATTAATTTTTTGATAACCACACACAAGGGCAACTTTGTGTAATCACATTCCTTCGATTTCAATGACATATAAAACTGTAGGCTGCTATCATCATCCACACTCATAGCTGGATATCCATCTTTCACTTGATACTTCATCTCCATATCATTTGAATTCACGTTTACCTTCAGTTTATCAAAAACAATATCTCGGAGTTGATTGTAGTTACATGATGAACTAATCAAAACACCTCCGACGCCATAGTTCACGTATTCATTGTTGATCCATACTCCATTATGATGTAGAAACACATTTACATCATTCATGTTCCTGAAAATAAAACAGATTCGCTATAAGTAAAAAATCAAAAAATAAAAGAAAAACAATGAAACAAACAATATATAATGGAGTATGTGTTAAAAAACAAACAAAAATCAGGATCTAAAAAAACAAAATCTGAAAATTAAAAAAAAATAAAAAATAAAACCAACAATTACGTTTCCACTAATCTGAAAATTAAAAGAAAAAAGAAACCAAAA